ACCATGCCCCTCTCTGCTCAGTGACGTCACAGCTCCGACCATGCCCCTCTGCTCAGTGACGTCACAGTTCCCACCATGCCCCTCTGCTCAGTGACGTCACAGCTCCGTTCCATTCTCTTGCCTCCAGGGCTTCAGCCATGCTGTGCCCTCTGTCGCGCTCTCCCTGTCTCCACCCTGATTAACTCTTCTTCCTTCAGGAAGCCCTCCCTGACTCCAGTGAGGTCAGGGCATGGCACACACCCCTCCTGGCCATCCTCACACGTCATCATGTGCTTATAGTCTGTCGGCTCGGCCCAGGACCATGCTGACAGCACAGGTGCCCGGCAGTTAGCGAAGCCTAGTGTGGACCAGGTGCGTCATAAAAGTGGCTGAAATCACCTGAATTAATCTGAATGGGTGGAGGAAAGGGGGCTTGGGACGTCACCCAGGCTGACACGGTTCAAACGCCATGAAGTCGGCTGCCATTCCTTGAAGCTTCTCCCCTTCCCACAGCTCTGCAGAACGTCTAGCCGGAAGCCCTCCTTCCCTAGCTCAGATCCACCTCCTCTTATGCACCACAAAACAGAGGCATGCCACTCGCTGGAGGCCCCCGGGGACCCCTTCTCTGCTGGGGGAATCGAGTTCCCCCACAGCACACCCCCCCGCCCCAGCCTTGTCGAGGCTACAGGGCTTCTGTCCTGTCTGTGGTCTTCCTTGGAGGGCCAGCGACCGTTGAGATGGGTGGGTTAAGGAAATGAAAGGCTTAAGTCTGTGCTTATACAGAGTTCAGGACCTGCATTTTTAACCCAGGTGAAAAGCAAAGCTGGCCTCTCGGGAAGGTTGAAAAGCACCTGCGAAATGGTTCTAGAACAGCCCTTCCCATCGAGTCTCTCACCACTCTGCACAGAGCTCGCTTCAGGCAGCACCGGCCCACTTGGCCAAGTCCAACTCGGTGGCTTTCTCTGTACTAAACATGTGCCAACTGGGAAGTTAAGGCTAGAAATATGACAAAATCTTGGGGCGACTTCAAAAGGCCGACTCCTTCCTTCTCGGAGCTTATCTGCATTTCTTCAACCAGGGAGCTGATCACTCTCTCCCCGTGAGAATTCTTCTCCTCTCTCGACCCACAAGGAGACCCTGACCCAGAGACACCCCATCTGTTCCAGAGTGCCGCCCATGGGGCAGCACTCAGCGCAGCGAGGCCTGCTGAAGACGGGGTTCCTGCTGACAGTTTCCTCAGCTCCTCAGCATGTCTGACTGAGTGGGCGTCTTTAGAGAGGGTTCTAACCGCGGTCCACAAACCACCCGCTGGCCCAGGTCACTGTGTTCCAGCTGGGCCCCGCAGAGCCCTGGAGGACCCCTGGATCACCCTCACCCCCCTCAGGCGAGGGAGGAAGGGACGCCCCAGGGCCCTGTATCTCCCCTGACAGCAGCCCTTCTCTCATCTGCTTTACTTGGTACATTTCTGCAGGAGATGTTCAAAGGTTTCCCTGGCCCAACATGAAAAAGTTTGAAACCACTGACTCGGGTCAGCGTTATGGTGCCTTCAAAGGTCAAACTGCTAAGTGTTTGAAAAGACATATTAAACTATGCTACGTACCATCCCCCCACCCCCACGCCACTGTTTTCCAGGGAGCAGGGTCTCAGACAATCGAGGTTTGGAAGGACCCATTAAAAGGTGCTTCTGCCCGTGGGGTTCTCAGGACACCGGGTCAAAGGCGAGTTTTGCAAAGTGATAGGTACATGGGTAAAACTAGGACAACTTTCCCACAAGAAATGGCGCGCTCGGGCACTGAAAGCTCTCCTATGTGGAAGGGGGGTGAAGTGGGGATGGAAGACAGAGCAGCTCCACGAAACCAGAACTGTGCTGGAGAACAGGTACCTCAGGACAGCCTGTGTGGCATTCATGGAGGGACTGTCCTCAAGCCAGTGTTCCTCGGCAGCTATCAGCTCCACTGAGACTCCCTTCTGGACCCAGCACCCTGGGTTGGTTCTCCTGCTCTGAACCCACCTAACCCCTACGATGATACCACTGTCACTTGTCACACTGCCCTGCGATCTCCAGTTTGCCTGAGTGGCTCCTGCCCTAGACCTGGAGCTCTGTGAGGGGAGGGTGAGGCGTCTGTCACCAGTGCCGGGCCATGGTATTCACGTGCACAGGTGGGAGCTCAGTGTACTGTCCCTTTGGAGCCAAGGTTGGTGAGACCAGGGCACTGCTCCAGAGGAACAGTACAGGGCACCAACCAATAAGCTCAGCCTAGGAATAGCCCAAGGAGCAGGGTGTTCCCCCCTCCCAACCCCCCAGCCCCCCCAAAATGCCACAGTCAAGCTGGTGGGACAGGCTGGCTTTCAGGATGTCCTCACACTCCCGTGGCCTGTCTCCTTATGACTAATGGTGCAGACAGGGAAGGTGGAAGGGACACAGTTGGCCTTTAGAGGGACACCAGCCAGTGAGACGGTAAACAAACCCTGGATCCTTGGGTCACGAGTGCTTTGCTCTCCCAGGTAAGCGGATCCAGGCCGAAGCGTTCCAAGTCTAAAGTCGGAAAGTTTGAGCAACAGGCAAGGAAAGAAAACTGACAGCCAAGGTCCCAACCCAGATGTCGACAGGGATCAAGCAGGAAATGTCAGCGGAGGCAGCAAGCGGGCACAGAGGGTAGAAAGAGCCGAGACCAGCGTGGCCAGCGGCGGGGTTTGGGAAATCCTTTTGCTTTTAAACGTAGGCTAGATTTGTTGGCAAGCGACCTCGGGTCTGGGTACTTTTCTGAAGCACAGACTTCTTAGACCAATTTGACTAAAAATGGAAACCAGCGTAGAAGGTATGAGTGCTGCAGGCTTCACCCAGTTCCCTCTCACTGTTCTGCTTACTGCTTAACGATACAATTTCTTACTCATCTCCTCCAGGCGTAGATTCTGCGGCAGGTTTTAAGTATGAGGGATTTACGGAGGCAGCACTGAGCGTTCTGGCCGGTCCATGTGTGAAAGGCCATCAAGTCACCTGGGGGCTTCAGTCAGCAACACAAACATTTACAGGCTGTGCGTCTGCCCTGCCACGTTTGGACCACGAATTATTTCCTTCTCACACCATTGTTATTCAAATAAACAAAACCACCCTGCCGACTTATTTTAGGAGGAAATAGTCTATCTCAAGAGGAGTTGCTCAGACTCCTTTTCTTGTCCATCCTCACCCCTTCTAGGCAGACGGGGCTTCTGCCCACGAGCCAGGCACCAGCAGGCACTGGCCAATGCCCGCTCTCCTCCACACGCCTGTGCCCTATCAGCAGAAAGAGCCGTAGCTCTGGAATCCTCTGTGCCCTTTCCTTAGTTGCCTTTGCTGGAGGTGGTGACGCTGTGCAAGGGAGAAGATGGCTGGCAGCACACTCTCTATCACCAGGCTGCCTGGCTTCAAGGCCCCGCTTTGTGCTCCCCACGATGTGCCCCAAACCTCGGTTCCTTCATCTATAAAATTAGTATAACAATACAGGCAACACTTAGCATCCAGGAGATTCTAAGTGCCCCTCGGCCACTGTTATTCGAACAACTACTACAAAGTGAATGAAAGATTTCTAGAATAATCAGTTAAAAAAATATTTTGGAGCACCTATTTGTGTAAAATTCTAGAAGGCTGCTTTATTCATTTACCCAACAGATATTTAATTAAAGCTTTCTAAAGACCAGATTTTGTAAGTCGAGTACATCATCCATCCATCCATCCACCCACCCACCCATCCACCCACCTATCCACCATCCACCCACCCATCCACCAATCCATCTGCCATCTGTCCATCCATTTACCCACCCATCCACCCATCCATCCATCCACTGTCTATCCATCCATCCATCCATCCATCCATCCATCCATCCATCCAAGTTCTACCTGTGCACCTATATGCCAAACAGCGGTGGGTCAGCAGACACACACAGGCACATGCACACACTTAAGTACATATGGAGCGGGCACCTGCACTAGTGACACATATGGTCCCTGTCCCTGTGGAGATAGTGGGGTGACAGGTGCAGAACCATGCCATTACCCAGGCATTGGGAACCACCCCGGGTCCTCAACTCAGGGACACTGGCTGCAGTGAGAGGAGGTGCAGTGTCAGAGCGAGCCATGGTGGCCGTGAGGGCTTGCCTCCGGCCGTCCCTCACCTGAAGGTCCCGGTTGTGGTTTTCGCACAGAAGCTGCAGGAAGCGGAGGATGGGCTGCATGATGGTGATGACGGCGCTCATCTCCAGGTCGTCCTTGGTCTTGTCTGCCGCGGCCTGGGTGCCCTCCCCGGACTGGTAGTGGTCGTCGGGGTCGGCCTCCCTCCTGAAGGTGCTGAAGGCTTTCCTGGTGGCAGCAGAGGCCTCTAGGAGCTGATCCCGGGCCTCTTCCGTGATCTGTGTCGAGGGCTCTTTGGCTGGAATGCAAACACGAGACCATCAGTGCTGGGAAATGTTCCCGAGGGCCATTCGCCACACCAAAGGTGATGTGTGGAAATGTAAGTTCGTGTGCCTCATAGTTGTCCATCCGATGGATGGACGACGGACAGTGGGACACCTCCCAGAAGTCACCATCTTCACTCAGTCCTCAGGCAGGACTGACACTGAGCCAGGCCCTGCCAGCTTGCTTGCGGCTCTGCCGCCTCATCTGAGCTTGCTCTGTGCTTTGGCAGAAAAGCCTTGGAATAGGCTCTGTCAACCCCACAAATCTACGGCCCTGGGCCTCAGCTTTCTCATGTGTAAATGAGAGTGCGCTGGCGAACTCTCCCCAGAAGGTTCCTGAGAGCGCCAATGTAATGGTAACCACAGCAGTAATGACTGCACTGAAGCAACAGCTCATTGGGCCTTTCAGGAGGTGCGAAGGCAACGTGAGGAAGCATGGGATGTATTATCTCGTCTAATCCTCAGGCAGCCGCTCAGGTACCGGACATCACGAGGAGCGCTAGGCCCTGCAGCCAGGCTGCCTGGGTTCAAATCTAGGCTCCAGTGCCCACTAGTTGCAAGTTCATTACTAGCTCTGTGCCTCAGTTTCCTCATCTGTAAAATGGAGACGACAATTTACAGGGTTAATTTATGTTCTAACTGAAGCAACACATGTAAAGGACTTTGAACAGTGCCTAGTTCCTAGGAAGTGCTTAGAAAACGTTAGCCGTTCTTTTTCTTCTTCTCCTCATTTTAGACCAGTGGTTATCAACAGGGGCAATTTTGCCCTCATTCCCACTCAGGGGACGATGTGCAATATCTGGAGGCACTTTTGGTTGTGGGTGGGGTGGGCTCCTGGCATCTTAAATAGCCTTCAGTGCACAGTTCAGCCTCTACAGCAACAAATTCTCCAGATGTCAGATGTGCTGTGGCCGAGACACCCAATCTAACCCTAAAAAACAAGGCTCAGTGGTTCACTAACCTGCTCAAGGCCACTTAACACTGGTGGGTTTACCCACTCCCAAAAATTACTTCTCTTCAACGGAGACGATGGGTAAAAAGCTTCGTAAACTGTCACATATTTTAGAAAATATGGGAGAATTAGCTGACAAAAGACGGACACCCAGTTCTAAAATGTGTGTCTTCCTCAACTTTAACGTTACATGGAAAATTACAAAAAAGGAATATTAATGAATTTCCTGCCAATAAAACCTACAGTTTGACCAAGGAGAATGTATATTAATTTATTAAACAAGAATCTCTAAAGCAGCAGGAATTCGGCTCAGGTTACGTCGGAAGAATTGCCCCATCATGAGATTGGCTTTCTTCTTCTGAAAGCCCCTGTCAGGATACAATTTGGGGTCTAGAAGTAACGAAAAATCTAAGAGAAAGCCAGAGGCTCCGCTAGGCGCCCAGACCAGCTGATGAAGAGCAGCTCGCCAGGGGGCATTTACCTTTTTTCCGGGACGGGGCATCCCTGTCTGTCTCGTCATCTTTCTTTTTATTTCCCAAGTCACTGGTGTTCACAGTCACTGTCGCCTTGATCTCCTGCTGGGCCACCTTCATTCGGTCGTAGAAGACCTTGAAGAATTTCTCCGACTTCTTATCTTCTGTCAACCGGCAGAAAAAGGAGTGCTGCCGAGGGAAACCCACAGCTTTTCAGCTCTGTAATGGACCAGTGACTGAATCCCACACCAAAACCTCAGGGAGACCAGAGCCCGCCATGAAGCCTCACAAATGGCCCAAGTTTGCACTTTAGTCAAACCCACTGGATGTACTGATGTTCCCTGGATTCTCTGGCCTGAGGTTTCCTCCAGGGCCTTTTGAGCAAACTGCCATGGGCTGTGTTTGCTGGAGCAGTCAATAGGCTAGGGAAGCACGCTGTGGGGTGGGGCAGATTTCAGCCAGCTAGGAGCAGCCCCTGCACGCACATAAAACAACTCCAGTAACAATGGAAATGAAACGTGCTTTTGGTGATTATCTAAGGGCCAGTCATTTGTTTAATGAAGTCTATGAACCCCACCTATGTGTTACCTGTCTCTAGGGTTCCCTACCAGGTTGGGATGACACAGCCGTGAGACTAAAATGTGTGAGTAAAAAGTGCCCTAGGAGCTACAAAGATGATTATATTATAGAAGCTCAGAGCTGGCAAGCTGGGCACTGGGCCAAAACCTTCATGGAAAAGGTGATTTTCAAGTCAGGACTTGAAGGACAGGTAAGGATGTTTAGGTGCAGAAGCTCAAAATGAGCAGGTAGCTCGCCTCGTGGACACACACTTGTTTTTGGACCCACTGCAAAGCAATGGTTTAATTGCTGATGTAAAAACACATGGTGTCTCAACTTCACTTAGGAGTGTTTGCTTTTCACCCCTTTGCAAACAGCACACTGTTGTGAATTATTTACATAAAAATACAATACGGTCATTTCCGGAGGAATAAAACAAAGCTCCAAACAATGTATTTGCTTCTCCCAGTTGGATCATTCTGCCAATTTCATATGCTTTCCCTCTCAGGAAAGATGGCACTTTCCTACACAAGGTGGCCCTCGGCTGCCAATCCCAGAAAACACGAAAATCTTAGCCGCCTTGCGAAGCCCTCGAATTCCTCCATCTCTCACCTCCACGGACACCAGACGTCTGGTCCAGCAGCACCCCGCCCCCGAAAGACACCAGTTTCCTTCTGCCAACGTGCAACTTCAGTCACTCTGACCCTCCTTCTAGCCACTGGCCCTTATGCCACCTTGACAAACGTCTGTCCCTTTGACCACAAAGCACTTGATGGTGCCCTCTCGTCCCCTCTGCGGTTCTTTACCTCTGGTTGTTTCTGATCACAGCACAGGGTCGCCTGCTACAAACCACGCTGCCTATTGTCTAGCTGCCGACCCTGGTGGATGTCCCGGAGAGGGCTGGGGGAAGGACACCTCCTAGGGAGTCAGGCGGGGAAGGACCTGAGGGCTCCCTGCTCCCTGTAGGCTTATGCAGTGGCCAGTGTGTGTGTTTATTTTGCATTATTTACACCAGTCCTCAGTCGGTCAAGGATCTGAAGCAGCTTTACAAACAGAATGTGGTCAGTAAAATATCAAAGCGGACAATAGGGTACAGGGAGCTGAGTAACTAGACAAGCAGAGCTGGACACGGCGGGCGGCTGGAGGAAGGGGCAGACGTCTTGGGACAGCCCTGGGCCTGGCTCTGGGGTTCCTGGCTGCCAAGCTGAACGAGAGGCGTGCTCCACTATGCCTCCTACCATCGGCAGCACAAACACCAGTGGGGCAAAGGGAGAAGAGGTTTCTTAACGGAGGGTGAGCTGGGCAGGTTTTCTAGTCCGGCCACCTGAGTCTCTCACCCACTGGCTCTGTGACCCTGGGCAAGTTACTCAGCCTCTCTGAACCTGTGTGGACGGGCTGCCACGGGGCACACAACGTGCTTAGCACAGGGCCCACTGAGTGTGCTAGTTCTGTTTTCCTACTGCCATCACATTAGTATCATGTGAAGACCCCAGAGTGAAGGCGCCCCCATGAGCAGCTAGGGTAGGGTAGCCAAGTGGTCAGAACCCTATCTCCAGAGTCACAAGGACCTGGCTTTCAGCTCCATCGCTCACTGGTTCAGGTCACCTTTGAAAGTGACAGCGTCTCCGAACCCCAATTTCCTCCTCTGCAAAACGGGAGGATGCTGGGTGGTCTGAGGCGCCAGGGGGCCGGCCCAGCACCACGCTCAGTGGCTGATGCTTCTGAACCCAGGGGCCCAGCACCCGGGGTAAACCCTTCCTCAGGGGCGCTACTGCACAGAGCCTGTGCAAGCGGTACTTGGCATCACTCCTTGGGAGGGTCGGGGACCCTAAAAGATATTGTGGGCACGCCCCGCGATGCCCACCCCACCTCGACGAGCGTAATCTCGCCAGCATGCCTGGGCGAGGGTGGACAGGAGGGGGCACAGCAGAGGGGACAGGTGTCCCGGCCGGGAACCTACCTGAAGATACTCGGGAAGGAAAGTCTGGGCTCAGGAAGAGGAGTGAGGTGCGTCGTACAGGGGAGACGTGGAAATGACAGCAGTGTGGGGGCCTAAGAGAGCCCCCCAGAGGCAGCATGGGCCATGGGGAGAAATGGGGGCTGAGGAGCAGGGCCGACAGCTAGGGGCTCCTGGAGGCCGTCACTGCCCTCTGTGCTGCCCGGCGTGGTCAGGACGGGGCGAGACTGGGGCCCTCACACAGCTCACAGGCCTGAGCATTCAGCTTCTTTCTGTCGTGATGTTTTGGGAGGGCTTAAAAGGGGGGGAGGGGAGCCCTCCTCAGGACTGTCCCCCAGAACAGGGGTGACCCTGCTCCCAGCCCTCAGCCTCGCCCCCTCCCCTAAACCAAGAGCCACAGTCAGAGATGCTGCTTTACTTTTTACTCCAAGGTTTTCACTCCACACACCTGGCAGGTTTGAGGTGACCCTTCAGAAGAAATCTGGCCTAGGTGACAGTAGTTGGAGCGAGAATCAGAACAGTGATTGCCTCTGGGGGGTGTGAGTGGGAAGCCACTGGAAGGGGAATCAGAAAACTCCCTGGGGCGAAGGAAATGTGTCGATGAGGGTGGGGTCACACAGGTGCGTGGACAGAATCATGCTCCCCCCCCCCATGTCCTGATCCCTGGAACCTGGGAATATGTTCCCTAACCTGGCGGAGGGGAATTAAAGCAGCTGACCTTAAAAAAAGGAGCTGATCCTGGATTATTCACAGGGACCAAGGTAACCACAAGGGTCCTTACAGGTGGAGACAGGGGCAGGGAGGAGGTGGAGTGACACAGTGTGACAAGGACACTACTCACTGCTGCTATATTCGAAGATGGGGGAAGGGGCCTCCAGACTGAGGAAGTCAAGGGCATGGCCTCTCCTGGGGCCGCCAGGAGGAACACAGACCCGCCCACACCTTCATTTCAGCCCCGTTAAGACTCAGGTCAAACGTGCCAGGTGAAAAAGGTGGTTGTTTTAAGCTGCTAAGTTTGGAGTCATTTGTTACAGCAGCCATAGAAAAACAGACACAACAGGAATAAACATTTGTCAAATTGGATCACACGGTGCCTGTTATTGTCTGGAAATTATATCACAATAAAAAGGGACAGAGGCAAAGACTCTCCTCTGTTTCCAGAAAGAGAGCTTCCTGAAGGGCCCGGACAAGGCGCCGCCTCCCTAGCAGAGGGACCTGGGGCTGCCGCCCTCACAGCCAACCTTTCTGCACCCTCCGCTTATCTCCAAATCACATTGATTCCCAGGCCCCACTCATATAAGCTGTCTCATCAGCGTCCTAGGAGATTGCCAAGACAGATACCATCATGCCTAAATCCAGCGCATACGGATGAGAGCTGGGTGAGGTGAGGCCGGTGACTTGTGGCACAGCCACCACCAGCCCGCCCCCCGCCCCGGGCTCTTTCTATGACCCCACCTTTTCAAGGGACGCACGGAAGACCGGCCCCAGTGGCAGACGGGGCATTCGAAGGAAAGAAAGCCTGGTTGGGGGCAGACACACGGCGCCAGTCCTGACATAAGTGGCAACACGTGTGCGCTTGGCACACCTGGAAGGAAGGTCAGGGGTCGGGACACGGGAGGAAGTGGCGGCGGGCAGTGGCCGTCTCCACGGCAGTTCTGGAGGCGGTGGTGGGAGGGGAGCACGCCATGGCGGTTGTAAGCCAAACTTAAAAACAAAACAAAACAAAACAAAACAAAACAAAACGAAACAAAACAAAACAGGGCCGGCCGAGTGGCGCGATGGTTAAGAACTGGCTTGGGACGCCAGAGGGCCCCGGTTCGGATCCCACATATGAGGGCCAGTGACACTGCCCTCTACAGCTAAGATGCTGAACAACAGCTCGACCTGGAGCTGGGCTGCAATGAGTCGCTGGCGACGGCGTAGGCTGCAGCCCCTGTGGCAGTGGGTTGCCATGGGCGGAAACCCCTGCTCCCCCCCAGGCCTCCATGTTCCCCACAACATCATCGGGAAACTAGTTTAGTCCAGCCCTTCGCAATGTACAGAGGGGCAAACTGAGGTCCATAAAGGCAAAGGGGTTTGCCGAGACCCCACAGAGCCCTCATCTCCTGACTGCCCACGCCAGTCCCTCTGACCACACTGGGTTGTGGATGGAACAACAGCCTCAGTTTACATTCTTTCCCTTGGATCATTGTCAAGTGGACACCGTTTGCCCCCCTCTGGCTTCTTGAGCTGGACAAGGACTAAGGAACCGAGGTCTTAGGTTAAAACAATAAGGAAACCACCCTTTCAGATCTGCCTTGAAAATAACCAAATATTATTGCTCAAGGAGCCAGGCAGCCACCCACTCTGCCCACCCAAGTCTTCGCAAAGAAACAGAGTATGGTTTGTGAGAAGCCTGTCAGCTTCTGAAACAAGAGGCATTGGAGTTAGGGCTGGCTGTGGCAGCCACTGTACAGACAACAGGCAGCCAGCGGGCAGGCGGGGGTGAGCAGGCAAGGGGTCCGGGGCACCCAGGCTACCCCCCGCCCCCCATGCGCTGCACACACACCAGGGAAGGTAGTGATGAGCCCCGTATCAAAGAGCCATCTCCTCAGGGCTCAGAGACTTGGGGGCGTGGAAGATGGGCTTTGCACCCGGAACGCAGAGCCAGCCCACGGGCACCTGCAGTGACAAG